GGAGGGTGCGCTGCCCACGCTGGGGGCTCCGGGCACCCAGGCCGAGGTCTCCCTCCATCACCGTCTTACCGAACACCGAGGGGGCCCAGGCCGGTCCTGCCAGCGGCTCGGTGCACCCTCTTCGCCTGGGGTTTGTGTTTGGCCGGAGTCAGGTGTGGCCTTGGCGCCGTGGGGTGGGGGGGCTGGTTGGGGTTCACCCCACCTGCAGGTGTGGGAGCTGAAGTGAGGAGAGGAGTCCATGTTGGGGAACCGGGAGGAGAAGGGTTTGGATCCAGGATTTTGCCCCGTTTTTCATCACCAGCATTTCTTCCTTCTTGGATTCAGCGAGCTTCGGGGGCTTCGGGAGCGTGCCCTATGGCGCAGGCTGCTGGGCTGGGGTGGGGAGGACGTGGTTTTATCCCCTCGGCCTCCTGCCGTGCAGACCTCAGCCCAGAGGGAGGCCAGGCATCCAGGCTCACACAGGAGTGTCCAGAGCGCGGCCATGTGTGGTCAGGTGTGGGCCGCTGATTAAGAACGCGGGAGGGAAGGGGGCAGGCACCCCAGGGAGGGAGTGTCTCCTCGAGACCTGGTGCCTGGAATAGAAGGAAAGTGGGAAAGGCTGGGGATGGGGGGAGAGCTTGAACCCTAGTGTAGGAAAACGGTCCGTGTGTCCCAAACCTGGGTTTTCTTCTCTCAGTGAGCCCGCTGGTGGTGCGGCCGCCTCTCCTAGTGTCCCCACTGCCGGGAACAGCCCGGGAGGCCGGCTGCACAGACTCCCCTCTGCCCCTGGAGGAACCCCTGGGCTGACAAGGTGGGTGTCACGGGAGCCCTTTAAGTTGGTCTCGGTCGGAGGCCTTCCGGGTTGTAGCACCTGCCTGCCGGGCCGGGCCGATCCGGGAGAATGTTCCCGAGGAGGTGCCATCCCCCCCCTCTCCCCTCTGCGTCCTAAGACCCGCTGGTGGCCATGCTGGGGCCCCAGTTGGTACCTGTGCACCTGCCTCCGCAGGGAGCTCCCTATGCAGGAGCCATCGACCTTCCGACCTTCCGTCACTCCCGACGTCCCCCCAACACTCACCCTTGTCCCATCACCTTTGTCACCTTCCAGCAGAAAACCTGTGTTCTGCCTGTCTCGCCCACCAGTTGTGAGCTCGGTGTTCACCAGGGCAGGACGGCGGCTCCCCTCTCGCTGTGCCTGGCACAGAGGAGACACTAAGTGATTGTTAAGTGAGTGTATGCACTGAAGGTGCGTGAAGATACAGGGCATAGTTGTGTCCCAGAGACTTAGCAGGTACCTTTAAAAGACAAAAATAGAAGCAGACTGACATTGGCCGGCATTTCCTTCTCAGAGAGACCTGCTGGTCACACCCACGCCCAGTGTGAGGTGACTGGCTGCGGCTGTTTCCTCCCAGAGCCCATGGGAGACGGAGTCACGGAAAGGGCCATCGGGGTGCAGGATTTTGGTTTTCACCTCGCACCTTCTGGGTGTCCTTCCTGTGTGATGGTTGTTGGTGAACAGTCAGGAAGTAGAGCACTAGCTGGCCCTCGGTGGGAGGTGACTCCACCTGCAGGCCCTCTGCTGGTGCCCATGCTGCCACCTCTGGGTGGGCATGGGTCCCCTGCTTTCCTAGAGGATGGCGCACCCAAGCTGGCTCCAGAGAATTGGGGAAATTTGCCATGGTTCCTGCTGGCGTGGGTGTGAATCCACTGTTTCCAGAACTGCTGCCTCAAATACTACAACTCCTTCCTCCATGAATCTTACGGCTTCGTGAGTGGTAGTAACTGCATCTGGCTTTTGTTAGAGCAGGAGTTCCTACTTGGGGGGTGGGGGGTTCCTTTAAGTGCCGGGGTCCAACCCCAGCAGGTCCAGGGCTTCCCAAAGGTGTAGACAGAGTCGGCGAAGAAGGAATGACACTGAGACAGCGTTCAGTTGATCAGCAGCCTAGCCAGGATCTCCAGCCAAGTTCTGGTCTGGATCTCCAGAGAAGTTCTGCCGTTTATTGTCTTGTTACATCCGTATTTATACCAGTTGATTTTAATCCTGTCAGTTTCTATTACAAAGGTTAGGGCGTTTCTTATCTCCATTCCAGGGAGTAAAGATTATGTAGCTTAAGCATGATTGTTCGTAGTTAAAGTGATTAACTACCCGCCTGGCACTTAGTTAAGGAGTTTCATCCCCTCCCTGACTTCAGGGAAAAATCCCTACCTGGGGAAACAACTTTTCTCAGAGAGGTGACCTTGGTTAAAACACACAGCGCTAAGGGGAGCAAACATATTAAGAACAGTAAGCTATATACGCCAGGTCCCTTGAAACATATGCTGAGCAGATGTTTCTTTCCTGCAGCGACTATGTCAAGCAGCAAGGATGGACCGGCTTCCGGCATTTAAGAATCTTGATGAGAGCTATGAAGACCCCTCCCGATCAGGGGGTGAATGGACCCCTCAGCACCCACGGGTCCCCAACTAAGAATTAAGCCCTCCCTGCAGAAATGAAGCGTCAGGCAGTAGGAATGTTCTAGATCAGTGAGATGAAAAGGGAAGGCAGGGCTGGTAGGGAAGGGGCGGCTTCTCCCTTTCTGCACATGGCACTCGCTGGGCGCCATGCGGCTCACCCAGGCCCATGTGCCTCCCCGCCCCCTTTAGCCTGAACCCCAGTGAGAGCCACCGTGAAGGAAGTGCACTCCAGGGCCAGGTGTGTACAGGGCTGTGGGGGCTCCAACAGGAAGCGCCTGAGGGACAGGTGGGAAGCAGGGGCCAGTTCTCTACAACTTTTCAGAGACCCTGTGCACGTGACTGATGAGCATGATTCAGGTTCAAATTCGGAAGCCCTGCCTTGAGCCCCAGTTGTGTGTATGTGGGAAGCCCGGTCTTGTGCGATGACTGTGCACCTGTAAGGACATGGGTTCTTGGGGCTCAGTACTTGGACTCTATGGGAGAGCAGGAACTCGGGGTTCTCTGTGCCCCATTCGCTTAGGGAATTGGAGTTATTCGTGAAATAAAACAACCTGAACGCTAGGACTGTCTGCATAAGGACTTGCCTTTGGTTTCTGTGCTGCAGGCCAGTGTTTACCAGCGTCCATGTTCATGAAAATATGTGCAAGGTTGAATATTCAAAGCTGTGTGTATGGGGACGTAAAGGACTTTTTTCAAGATGTCCTCTGGGTCTGCTGATGGGCCTGGTGCGTGTGAAGCTGTTTACTGGATGATGAGCGCCTGCGATGGGAGGGCCAACTTTCAGGGTCTGCCGTCCTATTCTGACCGCTGAGCTCCATGTTGGTTGAGACGAGAGGGTGCTTCGCCCCCTGGAGAAATCAGAGTGGACGGACCTTATGCCTTTGGTCACGAGAGGCCAGGGGAGGGGAGGTTATGGCCACCGAGCCAGGTTATGGGGTCCTTACTGAAACCAGGTACGCCTTTGTCTTCCTCCTCTAACCAAGTGAGGCCAAACTAAGGAGAGTCTGGCATTTAATTCTTTTCAGGCTGCAGAAGACGTCAATGTTACTTTTGAAGATCAACAAAAGATAAACAAATTTGCACGGAATACAAGTAGAATCACAGAGCTGAAGGAAGAAATAGATGTAAAAAAGGTACTGGAGATATGTATCTTACTTCAGAAAAATAAAAGTTCTTTATGCAATAGCTCTTAAAAACTGAATTCGATAACTTGTGCTTATATCTGTGTGGGCTCTGTTGCAGATGACATAACCTACTCTAGTTTAAGAAGAAAAATCTTGTTTACGGGTGTGAGAAAACTTACAGATTGTGGAGAGGTGGGACTCTAGGCCGAGGTTCCAGGAGCAGGTCCCAGAACCATATCTCAGAGCATTTGGCTGGGAGGGCACTGCTGCTGTCTCCACGCCAGCTGCCTGCCCCTCAGACAGCTGCCCCTGTAAATTGGAGGCCTTGTGCCCAGCCGTTGCTTGTGCAACTCCCTGCGTTGAAGTCCCGTTCAAGTGCATTAGATTGGTGGAATTCAAGTTCTTTGCTCCATCCTATCACCAGGCACGGCTGAGAAGTGTAGATTCCTGTTTGCCTTTGCTTTACTTCTCCCCCAGGAAGGCAGGGCTTACAAAATGGGAAACTGTTAAGGTAGGAGATAACTGTGAGTGGCCACAGATTCCCGCTGTCCACCGCAGCACGCTTGTAGCAATCTGGAAGTATCTGGAGATCAGCGTGTTAGTGAGCTCTCCGAGAGTTGGTGTCCCCAGATTAAAATGGGCTGCTAGCTCTGTCAGGGAATTTTGAATACATTGTTCATTGCTGTTCCCTTTTGCATTTGCAGAAACAACTCCAGAATTTAGAAGATGCCTGCGAGGACATCATGCTTGCAGATGAAGACTGCTTAATGATACCTTATCAGATTGGTGATGTTTTCATTAGCCATTCTCAAGAAGAAACACAAGACATGTTAGAAGAAGCAAAGGTATATTGAAGTCTTTCCCTGGGTGATGAACTCTGACTCTTACGTTGGGATTTGTATCCTTACAAAGCATGGAGGAG